AACACTGCTCCAGTGATGACTCCCTTCAGAAAGTCCCATTCTTTCACACATTTTAAACAACTGAGCTGTTTTCACACAACACCAAGCTTAGCACCTTGTGTGAATGGACCGGAGAAGTGAATCATAGTGCATGAATGCAGCCTATAAATTGCAAACCTAAGATCCAAACTGCAACCAACTCCCTTGGCATAATGCAAATTCACCAGGCAACACCCATCTTTCTATACACACAACGTGCCAGGTTCTGTCCTCCCTGCCCGAGACATAATTCTGAATTTCCTCTTCAACCTGCTCCTTTTCGGGGCTCCCCAGAAGCCTGCAAAACATACCTGCTTATGCATTTCAATATTCAAGCCGTACGACATCTCGTAATACTGAAAGAGAAGGAGAAGCACCAGTTAGGCCATTTATCCCAGCTCCGTAAAATTGCTCCGTTTGATCCTTAGGAGCATTATTGCACTCTTAGCCTCATGCCCCAAGGTCTGATGTTCAGTCCCTGATTGCTATGCAGCCACAGTGCCACGCATAAATCATGCAACAGAGGGATCTGCTCAGAGAAACCCCAAAGAACCACCAACAGATAGAGACATACTAAAAAAAAAAAAAAAAAACTCCAAAAGAACCATGCAGGTGATTGACTATGATTAATTATATGCCACCAAATTGGGGTCAACAATTAAGAACCACCTAGATGGGTTTTCTCCAGGATGATCGGTCTCCAGCCTGGTCCTTCCGGTCTTCCAACGGTGGCCCCATCACCACTGTCACTGAGTCCATCCTCCTTGCTGCTGCTCATCCTCTTCTTCTCTTTCCTTCCATCTTTCCCAGCATTATGGACTTCTTCAGGGAGCCGGTTCTTCCTGTTGATTGACTGATTACGTGCCATCATGTCAGCGTCAACTATTAGCAACCACATAGGTTGATTTTCTGCAGGATGAGCTGTCTCCAGTCTGGTCCTTCAGGTCTTCCAAGGGTGCACCCATCACTGTTGTAATAGAGTCTAACACCCTTGCTGTTGGTCATCCTCTTCTTTTTCCTTCCACCTTTCCAATCATTATAGACTTCTCAACAGAGTGAGATATTCATATTGATTGATTAAGTGCTGTCAACTTTCTGGTGATTCTTAGAGGCCCCAAGACAGACCTTCTCCAGGAGGATCTGTCCCTGTGTAGCCCTTCGGGTCTTGCTGTAACTGAGTCCCTCCACCTTCCTGCTGGTCGTCCTCTTCTCTTTCCTTCCACCTTTCCCAACATCAGAGCTTCTCCAGAGAGCTGGGTCTTCACATCATGTGCCTGAAGTAGGATCATTTGAGCCCAGTCATTTGTGCCTCGAGTGCAAACTCTGGGTTGATTTTTTCGATGATCTATTTGTCTGTTTTCCTGGCTGCCCACGGTCTTCTCAGGAGTCTTCTCCAACCCCAAAGTTGAAAGGCATCAATATTCTTCCTATCCTGCTTCTTCAAAGTCCAACTTTGAAGGTCACAGAAAATAATTGCTCTACAGGAGAAGGACCCACAAAAGACCCCAAGTGGGTAAAGAGGGGAATTGGAATGGGGGGGCTACAATATCCCCCACTTCAACTGTTTGTTTTCTGGAGGCCTTTTCCTCCTCCTCCTTCTCTTCTTTTATCACCATCCCCATCAGCTTTCCTGTTATTTATTGCATACATATGCTGTTCCTTTCAAACTACATTGCGCAAAGAATGAGACATCGTGAGCCAAAGAGATTAAAGGCAAAAGGTTCTACTTCTGCGCTTTACACTGCAGAATTGGAAAGGTCTCTGCCCCAAGAGGCTCCCAATCTAAAAGCTCCAGAAACAGAGGAGGCAAGTTTGGGAATGCCAGTTGGGAAGAGAAAGAGTGGCTATTTTATTTATCTGTTTAATCAGTTTATACAGCCACTTGTCATAGTGCATGACTCTGGGTGGCTCCTGACATTCGAACCAATAAAAATATATACAAATACAAAATAAACCAGAAATAAAACTTAATCATTATTATTGCTTGTATTTTTTTTATTAATCAAGGAATAGCACAGCAGAAAGAACCAAAAAAAAAAAAAAAGGAATCATATCTTGGTGTTCTTTGAAAATTCAAGATCCAGACAAGAAAGGAACATTGTAAAATATAACACGTACCATTCATGTTGATATAGCCAAAATATTTACTTCTTGAAAAAAAAAAAGTATTATTGTTGTTCTTGTTATTATTATTATTATTACTTTTTCTTACCATAACATAATGCCTCTGCATCTCGGTTTTTTCGCTTGCTAATTTCTCACATTCCAACTTCAGGCTGCAAAAGAGTGAACATGATGCATTTTCGTTCTGCTCGCCCCTCTTCAAAATCATCCCGGCCACCCCCCCCGACTCCTTTCCACCTTTCGTGGCTTACTCGCTAGGGGCCTGTGATGGACTTGGGGGGGGCAGAACCAAAAATAAATTAATTAACAGGCTGCCTTTCTTTTTTAGGGAATGCTCCCCCCCTTTTTTTTGGAGAGGAAAAAGGGAGGGGAGATGAGAAAAATGGACAGATTTTAATTCACACAATGCCCTAAGCGAAACGTGGTTTCTGGTGCAGGATATTGGATAAATTCAGCCATGATCCAGGAAATTATACTTAAACAAACCACAGCTTAGCACGATGTGCAAACGAGGCTGCACCACAGTTGAGAAAAAGCAACAGAGATATACCTTGCATCATTCCAGGCTGTATTCGGGGCTATACTGCCCCTGAATGTGGAAGTTCCACTTAGTTATCATAACTAGGAGTCCTAGACTTTTCTCCTCTTCCTCTCCATACCTGTGATACTGAGCCTGGAGGAACTGGAATTCTTCCTTAATTCGGTCACAAATCTCCAACACTGAGAACTTAAAAGACTGCCCAGACTGAAAACAGAAAGGTGGAGAGACGGAATCGCATAAGGCAGGGAGAAAAAAATAATCAAATATTTGCAAATTTGCAAATATCGTTGTTGTTGCAAATGGTGTGGTGCCCTTCAAAACCAAGCTTTCCCAGGACAGCATCTGCCAGTGTTTCTCAACCTTGGCAACTTTAAGATGTGTGGACTTCAACTCCCAGAATTCCCTAGCAAACTTTAAGATGTGTGGACTTCAACTCCCAGAATTCCCCAGCAAACTTTAAG